AAAAAAAAAAAAGTGTGGTCTCTAAACCAGCAACCTTGGAGCTTGTTAGGAATATACTCTCAGGCACTGCTGCAGACTTGCTGAATCAGAACCTTCATTTTAACAAGATCCCCAGGTGATCATGTACCCTCAACCTCAGGCTCTCCGTCCATCTAGAGGAGAAGCTAAGGCCAGTATTTTGGGGGCACTGCCATGGAGTACTTAGGAGAGCCTGGGATCATCAAGATGGCCTTTGAAGCTTTTGTCCTGCGGGTTGGCACATGGGCTGAGTTGTTCCGGGTTTGGGTAGGTGAAGCAGCAAGTCCTAGGTGTTATAGATTAAGCATGAGATGGGGCTCTCAGTAGAGTGGGGAGGGGGAGGTGGCTGAGTTGCAGACGCAGAGATACAGATCTTTGTGAAGACCCTCATGGGCAAGACCATCACCCTTGAGGTCGAGCCCAGTGACACCACTGAGAATGTCAAAGCCAAAATTCAAGACAAGGAGGCTATCCCACCTGACCAGCAGCGTCTGATGTTTGCCGGCAAACAGCTGGAGGATGGCTGCACGCTCTCAGACTACAACATCCAGAAAGAGTCCAACCTGCACCTGGTGCTGCACCTGTGAGGTGGCATTATTGAGCCTTCCCTCTGCCAGCTTGTCCAGAAATACAACTGCGACAAGATGATCTGCTGCAAGTGCTATGCTTGTCTGCACTCCGGTGCTGTCAACTACTGCAAGAAGTGTGGCCACACCAACAACCTGCGCCCCAAGAAGAAGATCAAATAAGCCTCTTCCTTCCTGGAAGGGCAGCTTCCTGCCCAGGCCCCATGGCCCTGGAGCCTTAATAAATTGTCCCTTTGGTTGACTAGAAAAAAAAAAAAAAGAGTGGGGAGGGGTGCAGAGGTCTTACCAGATCAGTGAAGTACCTACCCCAAGGTGGGGAGGGGATGAAAACTTTTTGGTGCGTGAGGATCAAAGACCGTGGACTTGGACCCAGTCTTTTCACTTTGCACACCCTGAGTTCTTCACATTAGGATTCATAACCTTGTAGTAGCTAAGACACACCCCTGGATGTGTCTGGTTCACCCTTCTCCTTGGCCTCCTGGACCTGGAGGCCAAAACGCTCCACTTTGGTCCTAGGGGACACTGTCGCTGTTTACCAATGAGGCTGGAGGCATCTTAGATGACTTGATTGTAACCAATACTTCTCAGGGGCATCTGTATGTGGTATCCAATGCTGGCTGCTGGGAGAAAGATTTGGCCCTCATGCAGGTACCCCCTCTTTGTGTTCTAAGTACCTTGTCTTCCTTGTTCATACAGCAGCATCCTTGTTGTCCAGGACAGGGTTGGCACAGACAAGGGGCCTGGAAAATGGCTTTTTGAGTGAATGAATAGCTATGAGACTTCAGAGCAGGCCCTCTCTGGAGCATGCCAGAGTTTGGTGGTGGGGGGATTACCGGGGATGGGGAAGGGGACCTTGGCCCCTCTGGTGAGGGTGTGAGGTAGCAGACCTGGGCTTGGGTGACCTTGTAAGATGGGAATCAGCCCACTACCTTCCCCCCGCCCCCCTTCCTTCTACTTTCCACTATCTTACTACTGTCCAGCTCTGCAGTGTCCAGCCCATGGTAGGTGCTCAGTAAGTGGCCCCAGATGCTCATGTGGTGTTTCTGTCTTTTAGGACAAGGTCAGGGAGCTTCAGAACCAGGGCAGAGATGTGGGCCTGGAGGTGCTGGATAATGCCCTGCTAGCCCTGCAAGGTGAGAGCGCTGGGCTGAGGTTGGAGCCAGCCTTTGCCTTTCTGGTTTCATTGACTGCTTAGCACAGAGGCCATACCAAGGAGGTACAGAAAGTGTGGTATTTGTGTGCCATAATTTTAAGTTTGCTATCTTGCCCTCCTCCTACCTACCACAAGGCTTCATGGGCTAGGGACAAGGCCATCTTTTCCCACTTGCAGAGTAAGACTTGCTCAGGGCTTGTTCTGGTCCCTAAATACGGCTTTAGTCCGGCTTTGAGGGGTGCAGGGACCTGGATACTTGGTCACTGGCTCCCTGGCCCAGGCCCCACTGCAGCCCAGGTGCTACAGGCTGGCGTGGCAGATGACCTGAGGAAACTGCCCTTCATGACGAGTGCTGTGATGGAGGTGTTTGGTGTGTCTGGCTGCCGTGTGACCCGCTGTGGCTACACAGGAGAGGACGGTGTGGAGGTGTGTCAAGAAGTGGGTGTAGGAGGCAGTACAGGGCACGAGATGGGGGTGAGGGGTAGGGGGTGTACAGTACAGGGAGCTTCTCATCTGCCCTCTGGTGTTTCATACAGATCTCAGTGCCAGCAGCGGGAGCAGTTCACCTGGCAACAGCTCTTCTGGAAAACCCAGAGGTGAAGCTGGCAGGGTTGGCCGCCAGGGATAGCCTGCGCCTGGAGGCAGGCCTCTGCCTGTATGGGACTGACATTGATGAACACACTACACCTGTGGAGGGCAGCCTCAGTTGGACACTGGGTGAGCTGGGCCAGCACTAAAAGGATGGGGTTCTGGAAGTTGGGGTGACCCTTAATAAGACTAGCCAGCCCATGACTCCTCCTAAGGTTGTGTAGCCTGGAGTAAGTGACTCAGCCTTTCTGAGCCTCCTTTTCCCGAAGGTGCCACTGTGGCTTTGCCCATTAGAAACTGAAGATGCTCAGCAGGTGGGCAGTATGGCCTTTAGAAGGTGGGAGGTAGTTGGTTGGCTGACTCACGGCAGTGCAGGGGAGGAATAGAGCTTGGAGTAGCCCAAGCAAAGGGGTCGTGACACTAGATGGGTGTTACTTGAAGTCCTCATAAGGGCCTCTGGTGGCCAGGGCTTCTATGTGCTGTGGCTTATGTTTCATGTGTCATTCTCCAGGGAAGCGCCGCCGAGCTGCTATGGATTTCCCTGGAGCCAAGGTCATTGTTCCCCAGCTGAAGGGCAAGGTGCAGCGGAGGCGTGTGGGCTTGATGTGTGAGGGGGCCCCGATGCGGGCACACAGTCCCATCCTGAACATGGAGGGTACCATGATTGGTAGGTGGACCAGGGAAGCTGGGAAGCCCTGTCTCTTCCCCAGGAGGGTGGGGGCACTTCTTGCAGGATGGTGCTGATGCATGGCTTATGCTTGACAGGTACTGTGACTAGTGGCTGCCCCTCACCCTCTCTGAAGAAGAATGTAGCTATGGGTTACGTGCCCTGCGAGTACAGTCGTCCAGGGACAAAGCTGATGGTAGAGGTGCGGCGAAAGCAGCAGATGGCTGTGGTCAGCAAGATGCCCTTTGTGCCCACAAACTACTATACCCTTAAATGAGGATGGCTCAGGGTGGGGCTGTCCCCTCCAGGAATCTACAAGGGGTTAGTCAAGAAGCTGAGGCAGAACTCACAAGCGTTGGGCAGCTAAGGTGGAGGCTGATTTTAATTGTCTGGTTGAGGGGCTATACCACCTATTCTCCCCACCTAACTCATGCCACTCCAGCTTCCTTCAGGACCCTGCTTCTGAGTGATGGACCAGCTTACACAATGTCTTGTTTTAGTCCATGATCCCACTGACCTACTCTTACCTGCTGGAGGGTAATAAGAAGCTTTGGTTCTGCCATCTCTCCCACCCTGCCAGGTGCTGGCTGTGGAGCAAAGGCTCACCTTTGTGGGGGGGATAAAACCTGCCCAACCTACCTCACCATGGTTTTTCACATTGCAAAGGGTGGTAACACGGGCAGTATGGACTTAGGCTATCCTCTCCAGTTTGCTTTTCATAAATGCAAATTGTCCCTACTGCCAGTCAGAAATAATTGCTGACTCATAGTAGGGCTGCTATGCCTGTGTGTAAACTTGGGGATGGCTGAGGGAACACTGATTTACTCTTCCACATTTCCAAGTTGGTCTAGTGTGCTGCCCAGTAGCAAACCATGGCAGGCTCACCACCTGTTCTGAGCTCCAGGGCTGTTGTAGGGCAGGGTGAGCTTCCTCCTGGACTTGCTTTACCCTGGACTGACCTTTGCCTCAGTATCCATTAATGGACTCCACTGAATCCTGAAAGATAAATTAAACTTCCTTCTGCACTGGCATGGATGAGAAAAAAAACAAAAAATTAAAAATTAAACTTCCTTTTTACTTGCCAGTCTCTAGCTTCATTGTTCTTTGTTCACGGGATTCCTGAAATGCCAACCCAATGCCTGCTTTCCTGGCTTCCAAGACAAGCTTAGAATAGGTTCCCCTTGAAAGGGGCCAGTCTATGAATGGAGATATTGCCCCTGTTGGGCACTCCATCACTGCTCCTCCAGGAAGCTGGCATCACCTCTCCCCTCCCTGCAAGTTACTACATCTGGCTACCAAGGGGGAACAGCCTCCAGGATGTTACCTCTCTCACTGCCCCTGTGCATGCACACACTTTGGTTCTGTCTGAATAACCACAACAACCAATGCGCTTCCATGTTTAATAAGCCACATCTTCAGTTGAACCTGGGGTGAAATGTGAGACCCTGATTCTGTGGGGTAGTATTAGAGAGTTGGCCTGGCGCTGTGAAGACCATCATCCTCAGTATAGTGGCAACTCCAGTGCACCTCTACCGCAAAGATGGCTTAAGCAAAGGCAGCCAGATGGAAGTGTGACATCCAACAGAGGGGAAGTAGGCAGGGGTCACTAAAGTGGCTGGTGGCCCGGCAGATGGAGGCAGAAGTATGGCCATCAGGGAAGGAGGCAGGTCCAGGGTTACAGTGCTTTCAGGTACTGCTGTTTCTTTTCTTTCTTCTTTTTTTTTTTTTAACATAATTGCTGAGTCCTGATGAAAGGTACTGGCGTTTCTATAGGGGCATTTGTCACCCACACCTTTGGAAACTCCCCTGGCCTTTTGTGACATGGCAGGACTGCCTGGTTCGTAAAGGTGGAGATGCTAGTGGGGAAGAGCTGAGCCTGTGAGGTGGTTTGTACCAGGTCTAGACGGGAAATGAGGCTGCAGGCTATGATGGGGCCACTGCACTAACTGCTTGGTACCATCCTGAGGGGACAAGGTACAGACTCAAGTTCCCATAGGCACTTAAGCATTGGGGGGTAGGAGGCCACCCCTGGGGTTCAGCTGTGCTCCTTCAGGCACCCAGCTTACCCCCAAGAAGGACTGAGAGGAACATGAATAGGACAGTTGGCAGATGACAATTTCCTTTGCCTGGCTCACAGGAGAAGTCTGGTTGGGCTAGGGATGTGGGTGTTTGGTGCCTCCATCTGGATGGTGCCTGCAGGGACACCATACTGCCTTATACCTGAATGGCCAGCTAAGTAACCACAGAGCTTAAGGTCTGGCTCAGGTCAGGATTCCCTGGCTCCTTGCCAACAAGGCAAAATGAGATTCAGAAAACTCAGGGCTTAGGAGAAAACAGACCTGCCTTACAAACCCCAGAGCTGGTTAACCTCAGGCTTCCTCTCAGGAATTATTTTTTTTTGACACGGAGTCTTGCTCTGTCACCCAGGCTGGAGTACAATGGCACAATGATATTGTCTCACTGCAACCTCTGACTCCCAGGTTCAAGCAATTCTCCTGCCTCAGCCTCCAGAGTAGGTGAGATTACAGTCACCTGCTACCATGCCTGGCTAATTTTTGCATTTTTAGTAGAGATGGGGTTTCAGCATGTTGGTTAGGCTGGTCTTGAACTCGTGACTTTGTGATCTGCCTGCCTTGGCCTCCCAAAGTGTTGAGATTACAGGCATGAGCCACCGCACCCGGCCAACTCAGGAAAAATTTTTATGGGGTTATATTTCAGGGGGATGTGAAGAGGGACAGAAAAAGAAACTCAAGACAAAAGAACTGTTGGCCTTCCCAACTCAGAGGCTTCCTGAGTTGTCACCCCTTGAGAGAGGAGGAACACGATTTCTCTACTTAAGGCACCCAGAAAAGGTACAGGCAAACTCTTCACTTGCCCACTGCATGGGCAAGGAGCAAGGCCAAGGGGCAGAGGCGGCTCAGCCCCGCAGGCACTGGGGTACTCCCTGCTACCAACCCTGAACCCCTGGCAGTTGTCCCTGGGGTCTGGTAAGCAGCAGAACTCAGTGTAGAAGCCAGCAGACCCAGTGATGCCCTTGGAGACCCTCTGCTGCCTTCCCTTATTCTCTGTGGGTTTTGAGAGGTTCGTTTGCTGCCATTTCCCTGAAAGTGACGGAGAGAGAGGGGGGTTATTCCATGGGCAGAACAGTAGCTGAAATTGGCTCTCCCAAACTCCTTGGGGGCTAAGCTAGGTTCAGTAAGGTCACATAACAATCTAGACCTCTCTACTGATCTCCCACAGCCCACCTGGGGCCTAGCACCTTCTCCCTGCAGACCCATTCTTCTTCCTGGTTCTCCATGTTCGTATGGCATTGCCATCCTTCTCTAGTTTTTAAAAATTCTTTTCATTTATTTATTTATTTATTTTTGAGATGGAGTTTCACTCTTGTTACCCAGGCTGGAGTGCAATGGCGCGATCTCGGCTTACCCACAACCTCTGCCTCCTGGGTTCAGGCAATTCTCCTGCCTCAACCTCCTGAGTAGCTGGGATTACAGGCACGCGCCACCATGCCCAGCTAATGTTTTGTATTTTTAGTGGAGACGGGGTTTCACCATGTTGACCAGGATGGTCTTGATCTCTTGACCTCGTGATCCACCCACCTCGGCCTCCCAAAGTGCTGGGATTACAGGCTTGAGCCACTGTGCCCGGCTCTTTTCATTTATTATTATTATTACTCTTTTTCTTTTTCTGAGACAGTTTCATTCTTGTTGCCCAGGCTGGAGTGCAATGGTGAGATCTCAGCTCACTGCAGCCTCCACCTCCTGGGTTCGAGCAATTCTTCTGCCTCAGCCTCCCAAGTAGCTGGGATTACAGGCACCCGCCAACACACCCAGCTAATTTTTATATTTTTAGTAGGGACAGGTTTTGCCATATTGGCCAGGCTGGTCTTAAACTCCAGGCCTCAGGTGATCTACCCTCCTTGGTCTCTCAAAGTGCTGGGATTACAGGCGTGAGCCACCATGCCCTGCCTATTATTTATTTATTTATTTTATTATTTTTTTTGAGACACAGTTTTGTTCTTATTGCCTAGGCTGGAGTGCAATGGTGTGATCTCAGCTCACTACAACTTCTGCCTCTTGGGTTCAAGCGATTCTCCTGTCTCAGCCTCCCATTTAGTGGGGATTATAGGTGTGCACCACCACACCCGGCTATTTTTGTGTTTTTAGTAGAGACAGGGTTTCTCCATGTTGGTCAGGCTGGTCTTGAACTCCCAACCTCAGGTGATCTGCCTGCCTCGGCCTCCCAAAGTGCTGGAATTACAGGTGTGAGCCATCACACTCGGGCTATTTTTTTTTTTTTTGAGACAGAGTCTCACTCTGATGCCCAGGCTAGAGTGCAGTGGCTCCATCTCGGTTCACTGCAACCTCTGCCTCCTCGGTTCAAGTAATTTTCAGGCCTCAGTCTCCTCAGTAGCTGGGATTACGGGCATATGCCACCATGCCCACTTAACTTTTTTCTAGTAGAGACAGAGTTTCACTATGTTGGCCAGGCTGGTCTCAAACTCCTGACATCAAGGATCTGCCCATCGTGGCCTCCCAAAGTGCTGGGATTACAGGTGTGAACCACCAGGCCCTGCCTCTTCTCTAAGACAGAAACCTGGGCAGTGGCAGCCTTTCTAACTGACCTTCAGCCCTCACTTTTGGACCCCTTTATCTACTTGTCACGAAGCAGGCAGTTATAAAGGCAAATTAGATCAGACCATGGCCTTGCTGAGTTAGTCTTTCAGTTGCTCCCAGGGTCCAACAAGCTCTCACGTTCAAGCTCCAGCATCACAGTCTCATCTATTCTTCTAATATGTCACCCTTATCCTTCCCTTTTAGCCTTGCTCTATCCATTCCCTTTGCCTGGTAAACTTTGTCACCCTGTGGCCTTTGATCTCAGCTTAGGTGTCTTTCTTGGGAGAAGCCCTGACCACTCTTGCCCCATGCACTGCTACCCTCTCCTAATAAATTCCTGGCTCCCCCTGAGCAGGGCCCGGGGTTGTCTTTGTTCTCTGGGCCTTGTGTGGCCCCCACCATGTGATAGGGGCCCAGAGATTATCTGCGTGAATGCCCCGATTAGTGAGGCCATGTTTTGCAGAAGAGGAGGCTGACCCTGATGAGGTCAGTGTGCTAAGGACAGAGATTCCTGCCTTCCCAACTGAGGGGTTAGTGTAGAGTGGAATTCAACAAACCTGCCATTTCATCTCTTTGAAATTATGACAATACCACCACCCATCCTACAGGCTGCTGAACAGCATGCTGATGGACTGTCCAGACCCTGGTGTCATCCAAACTTGAAGCCTGAGCTCTATGTGCAGACTTGAAGCTTGCTGCAAAGGCCATTAAGCTGGTGGGCATATAGCCTGAGAACTCCCCTCTCTGTCACCAGGACAGGAGTGTCCTTGGAATGCCAAGCATGGGGGTACGGTATGGACAGATTTACTCACCACGAAGGGAAATGCGTGGAGCCATCAGGCGTGGATCCATTCTGACCACCCAGACCTGGAGGCAAAAACACATCCAGGGCTGCAGCAGGCTGGGGTGGGGATCTGAGCAGGCATCAGCCCAGGTCAGGTTAGAGGCCACTGGTATTGTTTGGTGGAGTCTGGTGAGGGTCCTAAGGGACTAATGGTATTGTCAGGTGAGAGTTCCGAGCAATAGATACAAGGCGATGGGTGGACTGGTGGGATTCTGGCGTAAAATGGAATGGTGGCATGAGTCAGGGTACAACGTTACGTCCTCCCATCCAAGTACCCTGCTTAGCTTCCGAGGTCAAATACATTCAGGGTGGTAAGGCCGTGAACCAACACTAAAATCTCATGAGCCTCTTGCGGGATAGTGGGGAACCCAATGGTACAGTTCAGAGGGTAGCGGCGGGGGCAGCCTGCCCACGGAGGTTCGTAGGGAGCCTCACCTGGACGGTGATACAATCCGGTCACCGTATTCCCGTAGAACCCCCACGCCAGCTGGATGCCCAGGAGACTTAACACCAACCACAGCAGCAACAACTTGAAGAGGGTCACGCGCATGTCCTGTGCCTCCCACTCCCGCAAGAACTCGCTGCCCAGCGCACCCAGCGCGCCCAGCACCGTGGCCGGCAGAGCCTGCAAGGCCTGCCCAGACCAGGGTTCCGCCATGACTGGCCTACGCCCCACCCGCGGTACTGTCACCGTAGTCCCCAAGACGCAGGCGTGCGGTCTTCCGGGGCCCGGCCCATTAGTGCGCACGCGTAAATTCAGGCCGGGAGGGGACTACTTCGCATGCGTGAAGAGTTGGCAGTTTGGGGGGGGGGGGGCGGGAGTATTAAAACCGCGCACGCGCACCCAGACCCACCCAGCTTGCTTAAAGGATGAGTGACTCCGGGAGTACAAAATAGCAACCAGGTCTTTTATAGCCCCAGAGTTCCCGTGATGCCCTACGCGGCTACAATGATTGGTTAAGCGTTTTGCTTTTAGGGCGTGGATGCGCTCCTGAGCAATCCTGGATGAGCTGTGAGTGCGCGCGCGTGCGCGGGGCCGCGAACGGGGCAGGCTCGAGCCCGCTGGGCACTCGGGGGCGCGCACGTCGTTCCCCGCCCTCCCGCCGCCGCCCGCCCTCGCTCCCTCGCGCTCCCCTCCCGCTGCCCGCGGTACTCAGTCGGTTCCGTCGTTAGTCTGCGGTCTCGTCTTAAGCTGCCCGTCTTCGTCTCTGAGCTTGCGACTCGCAGACCGGCGTCCCCGGCGCAAAGAGGCTGGACTCGGATTCGTTGCCTGAGGTGAGCAGAAGGGATCCCTCCAGGCGCCGCGGCGCCCCAGGCCGGCCCGCCCGGCACTCTTCCGGCCCGCAGGCCGCAGCCCCGCCGCGGCCGCGCCCCACCGGCTGCTTCTGGCCCAGCCACCCCTGGCCCCTGACCCTTGACCTGACTCCCAGCCCCTGCCCCACGCCCCAAAGCGGCGACCCCGCCCGCGCAGTCCCCGGAAGCGCGCCCCGTAGTCTCCAGTGCCCCTTCCCCCGCCCAGCTTGGCCTGGTGTAGCCCAAGCCGCCCGCCCGCCCTCGGTCCCCGGCGCTTCCTCTCCCGGCAGCGCCGGGCAGGGCGGGGGCTCTAGGCCCGGCCCCGCGGCCGGGCCCCGCTACCGCGCAGTGTGGCCGGTCGCTGAAAGCGCGCGTGGCTGTTGGAGTTGAAACGGGAAAGAAACTCTTTACAACTCCATTTGCCTTTTGCATTTACCGAAAAAACGTGAATCACCGTTTTATATTGATTGAAGTCCAGTTATACTTTGGGTAGGTTTTCTTTTAATGCAGACTTCTTGAAGACTGTGTAAGTAAAAGATCGTATTGAAAGCTTAGGAGTCTGGTCTATGGCCATATCACCCCGAACGCGCCCGAACTCGCCTGAAAGCTTTGGGGTCTGTGTTGAGTGGAAAAAGGGTTATTTTCTAGTTGGAAAAAAAAAACCAAAACAACTGTAAATGATTTAAGCGATGTTGCATGAAAATAGATGCCGTATGCTTAGTCTAAGTCATTGTATTGATCAGGAATCACCTAAACATCTGTATCTTAGTTACTGATTGGATCTGCAGTTACAGGTCGTCTTCATTGAATAGCACTATTTACATCCAAATTGATTTGTTCACAAACCATGTTTAGTAGTTTACGGTGAAAAATTGGAATCCTTTTTACTTCAGAGTTGGTTACACTTGTGTTTTTTAATAGTTCTAATTTTAAATTTCTACCTCTGTTGTTGTTTGGTTCTGTTAGTCTCGAAGAAAGTCTTTTAAAATAAACGTTTCTTGCAGGTGTGTAAGCCGATTATGTTTCACTCTGCCTCTCTGAAGGAGAAAAAATTGAAAAACCAAAAAACTTCCATAATTTCAAATGTTGTATGTAGTGGGAATTTTTCAGCCACTTGGTGTCACCCACCCAGATTTGTAATGTGTATCATGGGGATGATTGTCTCCTTAGATGTGGCTAGATTGGCGGAGATACTGTGTTGAGCATTTGACACAAGTGACATTGGACTGAAAAACTAGTTTTTAATTGTAAAGAATGACTTCTTGAAGGATTTCTGGATAACTTGTCTTAATTGGTTCCATCTACTTTTGTGGAGCACTGCTGGCTCTTGGAGACATCAAATATATAAGTTGCACCTTGGTTTGAGTTAAAGTCTAGCGCTAGACTTATGCTCTCTGTTCTCATAAAAATCTGTGTTGGAGGGAAGAAGAGAGGAAGAATACTTTGTAGTTCTTGAATTTTAGATCGAAGAGGAATCTTTCAGGACTGGGTGTCCAGCAAATGGTGTCAGACACCATTCGCCGATGAGCAAAGTGAGTCCTAGAGACATAAGTAAATTTCTCATGATTATATATCTAGCCAGGAGCAGACCACAACTGTCTTCTCTTTTAAGGTACTATTTTCCATTTACTCCCAATCAGTTGGCCTGCAGAGTCAGTTGAAATTCAGGACTTCCAGCTTATTCCAGTGTTCCTTCTTTTATACCTTGTTGATGGTGAATAGTTCTGAAAATTCAGAACTGTAAGAAATTCTATTCTGTTCAAATTCAGAACTGTAAGTAAAAGGCTGTATTGAAAGCTTACGGGTCTGATGTATGGCCATACCACCCTGAACCCGCCGGAACCCATCTGAAAGCTTTGGAGTCTGTAGTGAGTGGAATAGGGGTATTTTCCAGTTGGGGAAGAACAAAACTGTAATGAATAGAATCTGAAAAATTCATTTGCCAAACAAATTTCAGTTCATTACCTTTCTTTCACAGCGTTCTCCCCTTGTTAAGTCGATGGTCCTGCCTTCAACTGAGGGAGCTAGATGAATGTACAAGGGTCCCTGGCTGGCCTAATCATGGCTTTAAGTGTTTGGATTTTTTTTAAGGGACCAACTTTTAGAACAAGGCCCGCACTTCACTGCTTCAAAACCAAGATATTTGGGTCAGGCTAAGATATATATATATATTTGCCCAGGACATGCTGGAAAGGCTAAGATAGTTTTAGGTAACTGTGGGCACTTTTAACTATTGATTTGGGGTACTGCATATATCAAGTAAACAGTTTCCTCTGCACATGTATGTGGTGGTGGTGGAGTATTTTCATAGTCTTAATTTCTTTCCATTTGTCAGTTAACTCCTTTTAAAGGTTTATTCTGGTCATGTGGGAGTGTAAGTTATTAGGAGAGTAAAAACAGGTAGTTCTTCAAGTGTTTCTTGTCCATGGGGTGGAGTCCACGCAGTGACTAGAGAAGGCGCTAGTTTGTGTCTTCTTAATTGTCTTAGAGAGCTGAGAGATTTATGTCAACTCTGTGAGAAGAAAGACTGATAGTTCAGCTTCTAAGAGAGCTAATTTGAGCCTGCTCGCCTTCTGTAGATAGCACCTTGGGTTTAATTGCATTATGGTTACTAGTGATTATGATAAATGGTACATAGTCACCGGATTTTTTTTTTCCTTTTTTTTAATTATTATAAACTTTTTTTTTTAAAGATGGGGTTTCATCATATTGGTCAGGCTGGTCTCAAACTCCTGACCTCGGGTAATCCACCCACCTCAGCCTCCCAAAGTGCTGGGATTACAGGCATGAGCCACCGTGCCCAGCCTGAGAGATTACATATTATTAATGTAAATTCTAGGGAAATATGGGCATTCTCTTGTCCACTGATTTTTAGACCTTTGTATTACTCCAGAACTTTTCTCTGTACTTACTTTCCTACTTCTCCATAAGATAGTTCTCTAACTTCCTGTCTGTTTTCTAAGCAACATACTTTTTCTTAGTTGAAGATGTATTTCCAAACTTCTCCCTTGCTTAACCTTTAAAGAGATGAACTCACTGTATTATATACATACTTCTCTTACTCTGGACCATTCCCATCTTATCCCTACATTTTTTTTCTTTTTCTTCTTTTTTTTTTTTTTTTTTAGAGATGGGGTCTTGCTGTGTTGCCCAGGCTGGAGTGCAGTGGCTGTTCACAGGCACGATCCCACTATTGATCAGCACAGGAGTTTTGACCTGCTGTGTTTCTGACCTGGGCCGGTTCACCCCTCTTTAGACAGCCTGGTGGTCCCCTGCTCCTGGGAGGTTACCATATTGATGCCTAACTTAGTGCGGACACCTGATCGGCATAGTGCACTACAGCCCAGAACTCCTGGGCTCAAGTGATCCTCCCACCTCAGCCTCCTGAGTAGCTGGGACTACAGGCATGTGCCACTGCCACCCGGCCTTACCCCTACTTTTCTTCTTCTTTTTTTTTTTGAGACAGAGTTTTGCTCTTGTTGCCTAGGCTGGAGTGAAGTGGCAACCTCCTAGGTTTAAGCAATTCTTCTGCCTCAGTCTCCCAAGTAACTGGGATTACAGGTGCGTGCCACCATAAATTTTTGTATTTTTAGTAGACACGGGGTTTCACCAGGTTGCCCAGCCTGGTCTCGAACTCCTGACCTCAGGTGATCAACCTACCTCCATCTCACAAAGTGCTGGGATTATAGGCGTGAGCCACCGCGCCTGGCCAGGCCTTTTCTTTATTTTTTTGATGGAGTAGGCTGATGATCTGACAGTTTACTGTCTTCGCTGTGGATGTGTCAACATAAGTCAATTAAAGAATGAGGATCAAGCCAGGTGTGGTGGCTCACGCCTGTAATACCAGCACTTTGGGAGGCCTAGGCGGGTGGATCACTTGAGGTAAGGAGTTGGAGACCAGCCTGGACAACCTGGTGAAACTCTGTCTCTACAGGCGGGCCTGTAGTCCCAGTTACTCGAGAGGCTGAGGCAGGAGAATCGCTTGAACCCAGGAGTTGGAGGCTGCAGTGAGCTGAGATCGTGCCATTGCACTCCAGCGTGGGCAACAGACAGAGTGAGATTCCGTCTCAAAAAAAGAAAGAAATGAGGATCAGGGCAATCCTTTCTCTTATCAGAAAGGTCAGCAGTAATACTAGCTTGGTAGGGAGCAGTGTAAACAACAAGTGCAACATCTATGCAGGGACTGTGCAGATATGTAATTTTTTTTTTGGAGATGGAGTCTTGCTCTGTTGCCCAGGCTGGAGTGCAGTGGAGCCATCTCAGCTCACTGAATCTTCCACCTCCCAGGTTCAAGTGATTCTCCTACCTGAGCCTCCCAAGTGGCTGGGACTACAGGTGTGTGCTACCATACCTGGCTAATTTTTGTATTTTTAATAAAGATGGGGTTTCACCATGTTGGTCAGGTTGGTCTCAAACTTCGGACCTCAGGTGATCCACCCACTTCGGCCTCCCAAAGTGCTGGGATTACAGG